ATCTGCGGCTCAACACCCCGTCCCACTTCAACCTGGTTATTCACTTCCTTGTAAGATATCACTGTAAATAAACTGAGCACTACTTGCACTGAAGTCAGCCACCTGGGTCCGTCCTTTTTTGACTCACTCACCTCTGTGTCCGAGCGGATCTAACAGAACCAAGATACTGCACATCTTAAAATTTTGATTTTGACCTTACAGGAAGGTTACAACAATTCATCCTGAGGGAAACATGTCAGTACCAGTTTTGTTGTAATTCATCCAGTAGTTATGAAGACCTTTCTCTCAAAACCACAAAAGTAAACGTGGTGGTGCTAGATGAAAAGTCTCCTATAATCTCCAAAGTCCGTAGAATTTACCCTCTGGAGACCACAAACATCTGGAGAAAATGTCACAGCAGTGCATCCAATGGTTGTTGACATATTTCATTTTTGACCAAAGGTGAAAATGTGAAAGAGACGTGTGTTTAATGTATTGGGTAGTTGTCATTTTTCATCATATAATCTTTGTTTTATAACTGAGATATGTCATGGCCTAATGCGTAGGTGCTAAAATAAATGCAATTAATGGCCACACATTGAACTACATCCACAGTGGCATCCAACAGAGCAATCATCATGTATATTTAATAAATTGGTTCTGTAGTTCAAACCATCAAATCTTGCAAGGTCAAGTAATTCAGTCATCATATTCATTTTTTATGAAGCCTAATAAAATATGTGAACTTTTATACATGTTTTAGCTTTAATACAGCAACAAAATAAACAACAACATAAACATAGACAACAATACAAGTATATTAATATCACCTTCACAGTGTTGGAGAGTAACCTTCATGTGTTTCAGCTTCCACTGATCAGCAGGTTTGAGTCAAATCAGTCTGAGATCTGCTGGGATCAGCAGCAGGCTGAGAACACATAGTGGTGTCCCACATGTCAAACTGATATCTGAGCAGATTTGGACGGATAGTAAGACCATGCACACAAACTCTTCATATGTAGCCTCTGTACTACCATTCTGCTGTGTTTTATTTTACTGTAGCATATGTAATAAAACTACTTATGTTAGAAGACCCTTCCGTAGGATGCAGTATTGTAAGATCATTATGTCTGAGCAACATTTTCATTGCAATTGATTAATGTAGAGCTGACAGTAGCCTTCATATCAGTTTGAAACTTCAGACCAGGGTTCGGATATACACATTTGCAATTCCCAGAGGGGTTTCCTAAATGGTTCACTTGAATAACTGCAACTGACTGTTATGATGTTGAATTTTCATAGTGGCCATGTAGAATTTATTGGTAGTTAGAGTGGCAGATAGGCCTGGTGATAACAGAGATTTATTGGAATTGGGGATGGGACCATTGTCACTTCATTTCTTTCAGATTAGCATGAGAAAGGAGTTTGTGGTGAACCATTGATATGAAACTCAAAGCATAACTTTTGCTGTGAGAGTCCTGATCTATGGTGAAAGTCTGCCTGCTCATTATGGCTGCACTCTGTCAGCACCAACTAATTACCACTCCTCTTCTGTCTCCACCCCGTCATTCTCAGTTTCTACATATGTCTCCTCCCTCATGGAAAGATCATATATAGTGTGCAGGCCAAAAGGATTTCACTTCTCTTCAGGGACATTCTATAATAGGTGTTGTTTCCTATTTTGGGCGTTGTGACTGATTATTGGCAGAATTTGAGGAGTAGGACTTTTATTGTTTAAGGGTAAGGTCTAAAAACTTTATTTTATTGCATTTTATTTTAGAAAAAAATACAAAAAGTCAATTCTCGGGGACTAAATGATGAAATACAGTAATTCCTGCCTGCAGGTATAGACTTCGTTTCTCTGTAACCAGAACCTCAACTCTTTATTTTGTTTTTCTCAGTTGACCATCGGGAGTCAATGTCTCCGCCTCTGGCCAGATCTCTTCCAGCCCTGCTCAGCCACTGGTGGCACCAGCTGAGGTTTCGCCATGAGAACAAGAAAGGATGGGACGAGGTGTTGGATGAGATGTTTCTGCTTCACATCAAACTGTGAGAAATGTATCAAGCGCCACTAGCCACCACTTATAAAAATGAACTGGTTAGGAAAGGTTCATACGAGTTGAGAGGAAGGTATTGTAGTTAGGAATAAAATAAATAAGTTAAGGTTTCTTGAAACACATCAATTTAAAAAAGTAAAAAAAGATGTACAAAAATATTGAAAGTTATAAAACAAGGTAAATATAGCATGGTTTTTATTTGTTTTTATTTAATGTGTTATTAGTATGTTAAATCATATACTATACTTTCTTTAGTGAAAGATTTACATATTGACAAATGATTTACTTGTATGTTTGTAAAGATCATTGGTTTGAATAACTCTTCAGCCAAATAAAATTATTAGAACAGGTAAAGTGTCAGGATAACATACTTGGATTCAGCCTATACCTTTTTCAGTCTAACATGAATATTGATTATTGGGATTGTTTTTATTTATTTTGATCGATTTGTGTATATGTAATTTTGTTATGCAAGATCAAAATATTAAATCAATCCATCAAAACTGAAATATGTCAAAGTGAAGGACATTCAGTTGTAAAGTCTAATCTGATTAAATAAAGTTTAATTTGGTGTTTTTCTTTTGTCCTTCCTTCAGCACAAATGACATTCCTCTCTTCTATGCGGCTAAAACAAACAACGTTGCTTGTATCAGGAAACTGCTAAGCTTTGCATCCACTAACATCTTTGAGAGAGGTATGACTGAGCTGTGAATTTTAACTTCACTGTGTTATTTCAATGTGGTACAGTGTCAGTTGTACTTTATGAAGTTGTGATCCTCTCACTCAGGTGCTCTTGGAGAGACAGCGCTTCATATTGCTGTGATGAATGATAATGTGGAGGCAGCAGTGGCTCTGATGGACGGGGCTCCTGAACTCATCAACGAGCCCATGACCTCTGAGCTTTTCCAAGGTTGGCATACATTTTATTGCACATGTAAATGCACAGAGGTAAAAAGTTTCTAGCTTTATGGTCAACAAATAAAAAAAATGAATTTAAGAAACAAACATGGATTGTGGGCAATTTAACTCATTCATGTTCTTGCATTTTGGTGCTTCTTTCTCTCAAGATCCCTTATTAGCTACAAATAAGTATGAAACCTTTTGTTTTTCAGAATTGGGCTATCAGTAAATAAAAAAAATTTAAATGTGAGTAGTTGCATTCTATATTTATAGCAGACTTACATTACATACCTGCTGAAGTTTGGTTAGCCATGAAAAAATACAGAATATGTTTTTACAATAATGAATGTGTCAGGTATGATAGCTTTATTACAGAACAATAATTTAAAAATGAAGGAGGGACCACTATGCTACTAGCCAGGGCATTCTCTATTTTTAGCTAACATTAGCTCATCTTTGCCCACAGCTGCTGATAACAATGCAGAACAGCCAAAGACAATCCAGTTTCTTCAGTTTTGAAACTTTGGATTCTAAATCTCATATTGCCTCTCTCTTTGAGAAACGTTCTTGCCTTTGTGTGTCTGGGGCGTTTTGAATGAATGCACACTGTGTTTTTCCAAAGCTGGTTTTAATGAATGCTGGGAAGGTGTGTTTGATTTATTTAACTTTGCATGTTCCATGGGTGGTGCAGATGCAGCTACTGTATAAACCGTAAGGAGGTAAAATAATGTTAACCTTAATGTTGGCACTTAATTATTCCCTCAACTGACTAAGCATTGCTGTACACTGTTGATTTACATCATTTGAACATTCACATTATCCTGAGAACCCGCCCGGCCCCACACACGGTGTGGGGCTGAGTGCAGCCACACTGCTTGCACCCCCTGATACTCCGCCAGTGTAATGCAGTATTTTTTTATAGTGTGATATGATTTGAATACTTCTTCCACCAGAGGTTACACTTAAGCAAATAGACAGCAGTTGAAATTATAAACAGGTAATTCACAGTGATCTGATATATGCTGTCTGTCTCTGCTGTCTCAGGTGTCACTCCCCTCCACATTGCTGTTGAAAACCAGAACATTGATTTGGTCCAGCAACTTATTAGTCATGGTGGTGATGTGGCTACACCTCGAGCCACCGGGCTGTACTTTCGGAAGAGGAGAGGAGGACACATGTACACTGGTAAATCAGCATGAGCGAGCCTAAAATGTACAGGGTGGCTGTATCTCAGGTGGCCGAGTAATGACAAAGCTGATGGCTTGATCCCTTCCTGGCCACTTGTACAGATGTCGTTAACAAGACATTAAACCCCAAACTGATCAGAACAAAAAACATCAGTTATTTTGAAGCAAAGTATTTAACTAACTTGTAAATGTAATTATATGTCATTGTGCTAAGTGAGGCAAGACAGATTCTGGTTTTCAAAATGTACATTTGGTCAACAGGTGAGCACATCTTGACTTTTGCTGTATGTGCTGGGAACAGGGATATTATCTCAATGGTAATTGATGCAGGGGCCAGCACCAGGGTCCAGGACTACCTAGGTATGAAGAAGAGTATTGTTTCATATATGTTATATAGTCTGACAGTTCTTGTTCCTCTTGTGTCATGTCTACTTTTTGTCTTCTTGTCTTCTCTCTAGGCAACACAGTGCTTCATATTTTGGTTCTGCAGCCCAACAAGGTAGCTGCGTGCCAGTCCATCAACCTGATTATGGCACGAGATGCAGAGCTACAGGAGCCAGTGCCACTCGACATGGTGCCCAACCTCCGAGGCCTTACACCAATGAAAGTGGCTGCCAAAAAGGGAAACATTATGGTGAGTAAGCATGAGAGGGCGCAAAAAGTAAAATCCTAACATGAAAGGTGGAGCAGATTATTTCACCTTTTCCTGTCCTCACTTGTGATTCGCTCTGTCTATCTCAGGTATTTGAGGACATAGTTAATAGAAGGCGTAAATTGCAGTGGAGTCTGGGCTGTTTTTCTTCTAACCTGTATGACCTGACAGGGATTGATTCCTGGGCTGACAACATGTCAGTGCTGGAGCTTATTGTGAGGAGCCACCACAGAGAGGTATATATATATATATATAGAGAGAGAGAGAGAGAGAGAGTAATTAGGTAAAATGATGGACTTTTTGTCAGAAAAAATGACATTGAAGTGATGCTTAGAAGAAATTCAACAACTTTTGTTTTCTAGGCGATGTTGCTACTGGAGGTGACCCCAGTGAAGCAGCTGCTCAGTCTGAAGTGGAAACTGTATGGGCAACATTACTTCAGGTAAAGTTTGATGTCAAACTCTGAAGTAAAATATCTGAGTTGTGCACATGTCCAGGTTTGTTTAACAGTGTAATATTTTCCTTTCTTGTGTCAGGGTGCTGATTATCCTATATCTGGTGTACATCGGGATCTTCACAGCATGTTGTTTTTATCGTCCTCTGATGGACATTCCAGAGAACTACACAACACCAATCATAGGCCAAACCATCTATATCCAGAAACCACTCACTGTGTGTTGGAGTTATGACATAAATTTGTTTATGCTGGACCAAAAACAAATCTCAGCAGTGATTGAATGCAGCTAAATAGCCTGTATTTATTCAAGTACTGTACTTAGCATTGTTTTGAGCTATTTGAGTTTTACTTCTTTTTTATGTAACATTTTACTTTACTACATTTATCTGACAGTTACTAGGTACTTTACATTCAGATTTTACATGTAAAACATATGATAGTTTTTAAAAAATGATACATTTTATCTAAACTAAACTTGTAGATGATCGATATAAAGTAGTTAAAATGAGCTCCATCTTTGCCAGCTAAGTTTTATGCTGAAGCTTAATGCAGGACTCCTATGTGCAATGGAATATTTTTATATCTATATAGTGGTATAGGGTCAGGAGCCAGGGCAAGAGTTACCACAGTAACCCTAATCATTAGAGGCATTTCTCTTAAGTTAAGGGGGACAGATCTTTTTATGCTACTTGCTTACAAGTTTTAAATAAAGACTGAGTCCTTATGATAATATTAAACCAAACAAGCAAATCACAAATACTACAAAACTAATATGACATTAATATTAATACAAACTATCTCTTCTTCCATGTCTCAGGAATGTTATGTGACTCATCAGGACAAAGTGCGGCTGGCAGGCGAGATCGTCAGCCTCCTGGGAGCTGTTGTAATGCTGTTGGTTGAGGTGCATTCATGAAACTATTTTCATCTTCCTACATACAGTAAACATTATTACAGTGCATTGCATATACACATCCTGCCTTATTGTTTTTTCCAACAGCTCCCTGATTTACTGAGAGTGGGAGCAAAGCGCTACTTGGGTCAGACTGCACTGGGAGGCCCCTTCCATGTCCTCCTGTATGTACAAACTGCTCTGAGAAGTGAAATGAAGCCTGCTATACTGAAAAACCTTCTAACCTTTCTGTTGTTGTTTTGATCAGTATCAGCTTTGCATGTTTGGTGCTGTTGCTGCTGGTGTTCAGAGTCTGCCAGGTGCAAAGAGAAGATGATGTGATGGCATTATGTTTGGTTATCGGCTGGTGCAATGTCATGTTCTTCTCCCGAGGTTTTAAAATGTTGGGTCCCCAGTCCATCATGATACAGAAGGTAGGAGACAGCTCAGCATGGGCATAGATACAGTAATGCGTGAGCTCATTAGAAATATTTTCTTGTTCCAAATGTGCTTGTACTGGCATGTTTTGGAAGCAGATATATTCAATTGTTGTTTTGGTTTTTGAGCTATCTTGTGTCTCATTTGTCTGTAGATTATACTTGGAGATCTGGCATTGTTTATGTGGCAGATATTATTTATGACATTTGGTTATTCTTGCGGTGAGTATATTCTGTGAAACTTGACCAAACAAACCTTTAACCCTCACAAAGCTTGACAATAGAAATTTAAGCAACATCAATATTGTCTTGTCTGTTTTGCTTCTCAGGCTTATGGGTAGTGTATATGACCCAGGACCCTAGTGGTATACCTTCATATGCCAACTTCCCCTTTACTCTCTTCTCTGAGGCTGTGCTTGGTTCGGGCATCGTAAATATGCCTTGGGATCCCACCGTCTATGCACCTCCAGTCGTTTATGTGATGCAAGCTACCTTCACAATGAATGTCGCCATCCTTCTGGTAAATATACTGATAGCCATGTTGACTGACACAGAGTGGAAGGTGAACAAGCAGAAAGAGTCCCTCTGGCGAGTTCAGGTAACACATACATATGGACTTAAAAAGAATTAATCTAACAAATATAAATGCACAGAAACACCTTAATGTCCCTGTGCATTTCTGTGTCATAATGAAGAACTATAATGATGTTACGCAGATGCTGTCTACAATTTTGATGGTGGAGAGGAAGCTGACACCCTTCCTGTGGCCTCGTTTTGGGGTATGTGGGCTAAAATATGGTCTGAAGGATGCCTGGTATCTCAGGTAAGAGAGTCCTGCAGTGCCAGGAACAGAAATAATGACATGTGGAAAAAAACATAATAAAACTTGCACTATATCTGAAGTGCAGTGACAGTATAAACTGTTCTTAAGTTTACTGGTGTGTGTTGAGACAGCCCTGTAGCGTTTGCCCGAGGGGAGCCACTCAAAAAGATAATGTCCAGGGTGAGCGCGCTGTTTAATGAAGCTGTGTGCCTTGTTGAGGCAGTGCCTCCCAGTCAATGTCTCCCAGGCTGGGTAACGGACAGCCGAAAAACCTCTGAGCTGTATAAATCACTCTTTTTAGTACCTTCCTATCAGCAGTAGTGCAGCTGCCAAACCATACCACAGTGCCATAACACAGCACAATTTCTATGGTGCAGAGATAGAAGGCAAGCAGCATGTTTTCTCCTGAGTATTTTGAGAAAGTGTAGTCATTGTTTGGCCTTCTTTACGATTACTGTCATGTTTTTACACCAGGACAGGTTCTCCTCTATGAGATACTGCCAATATTATCACTCTCCCACTTACAAACTACAACTTTTGTAGTCTGTATGTATAGGTGGAGGAAGGATGATAATAGTATCAGTAAGAGAGTGAGAGCTGCATGTCTTATTCAAAGCCCAACATGACTTTAGCTGCATCACATTGAAAGCTGCTTAGGTTATGGTCACTACATAAACATGTTTCCCTGTAAGCAAATTACTGTTTCCCAAAAAAGCATTCTATATTATTACAGGTTATGAAAATATACTTAGTGAAATAAAGAGTGAGTTTGAAAAGTTCAGCAGAGGGAGCACCAGAAACTAAATAAAATAACTGTAAATAACAGTTTAAATGTATTTGTCTCAAAACACCTGTGACTGCTGGTTTACTCTGTTATCTTTGAAGGCTTGAGGAAAAAAACCACAGAGTACGATACTTCTCCAGTGAGGATGAAAAGAAAAATGAGAGGATGGACAACACTAACCCAAGAAAAAAGCCAGTCTCAAGAATTCCTGACCCCAGGCCTAGAAATGCTGAAGGGGATACTCTAAGAGGGTGGCCGCTGATTCGCCACAGAATTTCAGATTTTGAGATGGAGGTAAGACGGTCAAAACAGGACAAGGACATTAAATATGTCTAGAATAAGATTCTGCCTGTGAACCTAAAAAGCATTTTCTGAGACTTCCCATCATCCTTCAGTCCTGAACCTAACTACTGATGAGTGAGCAATGCTATAAATGACTATACTATATATATATATTATATTGTTGTATATTATATTATTATATTACTATAAATGACCAGAACATGATTTCATGGTGAAACAATCCAGCCACAGCTCACTCTCTTTTACGCACAATGTTTGAACATGTTTTTATTCCATCAATCTGAATTTGTTGATACGTCCTCACTGTGGAGCCTTCAAAGCTCTATACATCCTTGAATTGTTTTGTTGTACATTTTGTCAGATTTCTGTCAGTTCCCCCAAAGCAGGGGAACCTGTGTGGGTCAACTCTGTTGGCAGTTAACTGTCAAAGTTATCTATTACATTCAGTTCAATATATACAAATAACAGATTTTCCAAAAATGATGTTTCTTGGAGTAAGGTAATTTCCCTTTGAACATACAGCATCTCTCTAACACACCAGTCAATTAATCAATTATCATGCACACAACTTTGTTTGTGATGTAGACAGTTAATAATGTCCTTAATGTCTTTCAGGCAGGCCTCAGCAGATAATACTTTTCCTTATGGCAGTATATTGCTCCATTGAAAGACATTCTTATAGCATTTCAGTTGCACCTCTATACAGTTCAATAACAGAACTCCGCATCTGGAACACAGAACGTCCACTGTCCAATTTCCAGCAGTTTGAAATAGACGACTGAAAGTCTTTTCCATTACTGTGCATCCACGACATCTCTCCATTTAGTCCCACTCAGTGTCCTGCTCAAACAGCAGCTGTGGCCGTTGTAAGTTTGAGTGCATCTGACAGGTTGCGCTGTTTGACTCTGGAGCTGCTTATTGTTTCTAAATGAGACTCGGGCACCCATCCTCGATGCCTGTCAGTCAGTCTGGTCCCTTCTACCCAATCTGTCAAAAAGAAATAATTCAACACAAAGCAACTGAGTGGTTATTTTCTACTAATACAATTAAACAGCAATGGCACCTTATGCAGGGGAACAATGACAATTTAGTGTGATGATCTTACGGTCACTGGATTGTTTGTGCACTAGAATGATATCAGCTTTTTCTAAGGACAGTTCATCAGGCTGCTGGGCAGTAAAAGCTCGGATACACTGCATCTGTGGGTAATCTGTATGGAAAAGAGAGGAAATGTTAAACCTACAGTGATAAAGATCCTAAGGTCACTGTGACAAACTATAAAATGCTTAGAGGGAGAAGCCCCTAAACACCTGTGATCCACCCACACAGGTTTTTATTTATGCTGAGTGAACATTATATATATAGTATTAATGTGTTATGTACAAAGATAGTTTCTGTTAAACTTTTCCAGTATCTTTTCACACTGGGATAAAATCTTGTACACAAAGCTACAGCATTTCTGGTATTTGCTGATGACTGCAGTGCTCTTGCTGATAAAGAGCACGTCTGCAAACTCAGTTCTTTTTCTGTCAGTCCAGTTAGTCGCTGTTATTCTTATCAGTGCTTTATTGAGAGTCCTTGGTGAATTTCTTATATTTGTTGGTTTCATAGCCTCACATTTAATTATACAATAGCCTGAACAACACTGCCAAAATTTGTTCCAAAAACAATTGTGGTGTGAAACAAAAAGACCTTTTTGTAATCAACAAAACATCCAGAAAGCATTGGCTATATTTAGCGGTTTTAGCAAGAAAACTTTCTATGTTGCCATTAGGGCATCATTATGCTCTGTCTTTTAATGTACATAATTAACACACTGCCTGGTTGGTCTCAGATTGTAACAGTGTCAATACTGGATTTTATTTGCAATGCACTGCATGTGATGCAACATTTACCAAGTTTGTTGACACTTATTTCTACCAAGTGGTGGATTTTATAGGTTTCAGAAATCCTCCATAGTCCCTGTTTATAATTTCAACTCAGAGGGGCTGACACTTGCCTGCTTGCAATTACTGTATGAAAATGAATGTAGCTAATAGATCACTATTTTCTACCTGGTGCACGACACATACTGTCTGCCATTTTATTTTAAATAAATTAAATGAAAGTGGAATTGATGTACAGTTTTAACAGTTAAAAAAATGTAGTTGTACTAGTGTCACTCTCCATTTGCCAGATGTGTAAGTTAATTTCATGAGACAATGCAGTTTTTGTGAATGCAAAATGACATTATGACTGACTGTTATGTAGGGAATATGTGAACAAGGTAGTGATGTCAGACACAGCTCTTGACCAGTAAGCAGCAACACAGCACTTTGTAACGTTTAAACCAGGATAAGTAGATTACCTTGAGCTGCAGAAAAGTCTATTTCAGGATGTGGCCGAGAAAGGGCTGATATCCAGCGTAGCTTATCACTCCTGAGGGAACAAAGCAAAGATGGGTGTATCCTCTGCATCTTTTTTCCCACTTTTGTGATTTAACAACCAAACTCATCTGGTCATCAAAATTCCAAAACATTGCTGACTATGCCCATAGGTGCCTTGTGTGTGGAATTTAGACCTGAGCTTAGCATTGCACCCTATTTCAGGAAAATAGAGCCCTCAGTCTCTTACTCTGTGTCGGTCCATAGCAGCAGAGATTTCTGCGCCACGCGCAGCCGGAACAGGTTCTTCTGTGAGGTGAGACGTTTGGCACGGCAGTTCTCTACATGCACGTCTACTACAGGAGAGTGGTCGATTACTATGAACCTTCCCCCTCTGGAAATAGTACACAGTGTAGGCACAAAAGAGAAATAAGATGGTGGGAGAACAAAAAAATAAGACTGAAAAGACAGAAAACTGCAGATATGAGAAAACAGGTTGTAGAAATTGGTAATGATGGAGATGCCAGTTGGTGATGGATTATTCTAACATCACATAGCATGTTTGCAGACTTACTCTTTTTGTAGTGAAAGCAGCAAGTAGTCATTAAATAGGTGCAAATAAACACTCCTCTCTGTTTCCTTTAAAGAGAAATCCATCAGCTCAGTGACCGGTCCTTCCTTTACCAACCTCCGAGACTGACTGATCAGAGGAAGAGTCTGTCCCAGAGACACACAAAAAAACTGTAGTAAAAAAAATTATACTAGCATATTAATTTTTTGAACATTACATTTTATTTTTCTACCTAGTATTCATCACTGGACGGAGTTTGATACGTCATATGAAGATGGCTCAGTTGTGTTAGTGTTTTTTCACAACGAGAACTCAAAAAGTCGTAACCTAGAGCTTCCCAGACCTGTAATCTGGCAGAACTTCAGTTGAAGTGTTTCCACTGATGCTTTTCCACAGCATTTTTCCTAGTGTTGGTCCCTGTTTACACAAGGACCAGGCTGTGCTCCTCACATAGACAGCTGAGCAGAGAGCACAATGCTCAATCACACATGCAACACAAGGAGACTCGATGAGCGGTTTATCAAACAGCTGCTGAACAAACAAAACACAAACTTGCAGCCCTCAGCTGCAGCATGCGATCAACTCGCTGACATCCCTGTTTTACCTCTAAACCAACAGGTGAAGTCCGCATTTACCTCTAAACGAGTACGAGTGAAGTCACCATTTCACCACTAAACCAACACGAAGTCCCTGTTCTTCCTCTAAACCAGTGAGTGTATGTTCACACACTGCTGATGTTTAACCAATCACAGGTGTGTCATTCCTGCGAGCACCCACAACCTCCTCTTGTGAGTTTCCAGAACTTGATTTAGTTCAACCTCCTGAGGGGTGCTAATTTAGTTCAACCTCCTGAGGGGTGCTAAAACAGGCCAGTGGAAACAAAAACGGAGCCCATGACAAGAAGTACAAGTTCAGTTACTGGTTGGTGGGTTCGTACAGTTGAAAAGACCTAATATACTCTATGGATTCATCCCAAGTCTCTTGTAAGCGCTGTCAATTCCCTCATTTTGGTATTTTCCTTCTGTCTTAGTCCCGTCCTTGTAAGATGTGAGGAAAACGTGAAGAGAGAGAACTGAAGGAAACACATTATTAATGACATGAGATCTTTCAATTATCAACTGATTTCTGATAATGGGGCGTGTTGATAAAAAAAAAAAATCATCTTTGAAGTATGGTCTCGTGTCTCCATAGTCATGGCTCCTCTAGCAGCCTCCTCGATATAAGAGACTTAAAACGTCCTCAGTTGACCAGAACAACTTCCAGATTGACTGAGGACCGAGAACATAGGAATGATTTTGGCCACGTTATCTCATTATCAAAGCACTATACTTGGGTCATGTGAAGACAACTGTGCAAACTCCATCTATTGATGAAGACACCAAAATATCCTTGATAGCCCCAGAAAAACCTAGAAAGTTGAACTTGAGTGAAGATAGTTTTGTCAAGTTATTGTTGTAGAATCCATAAACAACAGTACAAACAGAAATAAGTAAACTGATGTTTGCAATTAACTATGTTTTTCTCTATTATCACATAAAACTCCACACCTCAAAACCATCATTACTTTGTTTTTAATTATCTGTTTTTAATTGCAGTCAGCTTGAAATCAGTATTTTGGACAACATAATTATGTAAAACTAAGAATATCATTATGAGATCATTTAATTTCCCCCTTTATCACTGGTTGTCATTACTTACCCTGCACTCAAAGTCCACCCTAGCACTAAGAGTGACCAAGGACTCAATGTTTTTCATCTGAGAGATACTGTCATTACTCTCTTGAATCAGCTAAAAGAGAGATGAATGAAAAGAGACATTTGTCACCAAGGAGTTCAAGATATCCAGGATGCTTATCAGCAATATTAAAATGTCATTCTCCTCTGTCAGTGTACAGTGAAAGGGGCATCTTACTGTACCTTCTCCAGAAGTTTCAATGCCTTGATGGCCTGCGTTGCCTCTGCAGTCCCTGGAGTTGTTCTCTTCACAATATTCTGGAGAGAAATTGTGTTTGCATGTCAAGGTTAGATAGAAGGGTACATGACTGGACATTTTGTGAACCATCAGCCTCTGGAGTTTCAGAGAGGCTGCACACACAGACCTGGACCAGCAGCTTCAATCTTGTGATCCTTTGGAAGGGAAGGACAAGGAAGGAACGAAGTGGAAGTCTCTGACAAACAGGACTCGCCTCTAATTTCTCCACAATCCGCCTGAACCTTGGATTCTCATTCCTGAAAGAAAAACAAACTAAATTAAAGACATAAAAGAAAATGGCAAAGGTTTTTGTGAACAGGAAATCATATTAACTGCCCGAACAGAAAAAAATACAAATGCTTGACTGATTTACATGAGTCTCTGGAAGGTGGCATCCTGATAGGACTGGTTGGTGAGGTAGGGCACATAGACCATTTTGAAGCGCTGACAGTGCTGAGCAATG